GGGGATTACCACCACGGCAGGCACCAACCACCTTGCGGCCGCAGCTCAATGCAGCAGCTTCGGCAATGGAGGCGCTGAACATGGTCCATTCGGACTCGATGTCCCCCGCCTCCCTCGGAATGCTGTTGAAGCTCTGCCGGAGGTATTATACTCATATTGTATATAGCATTTGTATTCTATTTTATTCGATTGTATATAGTATTTTATTTTATTTTAATTTTATTTTATTCTATTCTATTGTGTATCTTATGGATATATTATTCCAGTGTTTTTTTCTTCTAATTTTTCTATGCAACTTTGCACTGTCCACTGCTGTAACAAAACAAATTTCCCACGCGTGGGACTAATAAAGGTTATCTTATCTTATGTTATTGGAACCTGCAGGAAGCGTTTAGAGGCTGTAATTTGTGCAAAAGGTGGATCTACCAAATATTGATTTCATTTTTTTTTTGTGGTGCCCAAACTTATGCACCTGCCTGATCTTGTTTAAACAATTATTGCACACTTTCTATAAATCCAATAAACTTCATTTCACTTCTCAAATATCACTGTGTGTGTCTCCTATATGATATATTTAACTGACATTCTTTATTGTAACAACCAACGATTTATACAGGAAAATACTGACTATTAACAAGGTTGCCCAAACTTTTGCATCCCACTGTACATGTGAATAGACTTGGTCCTAGTAAAGAACCTTGTGGAACTCCATAATTAACCATGTGGTATACATACAAATGTGTACACATTAATAATGATTTGCTTTTTTATAAAGCACTGTTCAAAATTAACTGTGGAATCAAATGGTTCAAAAGGAGCATCATCTAAAACTAAAACTGGACAGAATAATGACAAAACATGTTGCATTTTCAGACGCATATAATGGCAATGAGGATGATCAAGGAGAATTCGAGGGTCAGCGCTACAAAGTGGTAATAAACATAAAAGTGATAAAGATGTGATTCTACATCTGTTTTATGAGATAATCCACATTCAGGCCTAACGTGATGTGTTTTCAGATGAGGAAGAACAAACGTCTGCTGTCTGTTCATCCTATGGACTTTGACAATGAGGATTATCTGCCTCACTCACGCCGCCCGTCTGTGCAGGTAAGTCAAAGTTATGAAAAGCAAACATAAAAAAGAGATCTAAAACCACGTGTGTAACTTTGGATTCACAGCAGCAGGATGATCGGTACCATAGGAATGACGTGGACCACGGCCACAACAGCCACAGAGGAAACCGCAGGAAGAGCCTGGACCGATATGCCACGAGACCTGGTCAGTATACCAGCGTACCGGTCTTCCAGCAACATGGTGCAGGTCCCAAAATACACAACCAATTTCACATGTCCAACAAAATAAACTGTTTAAACCACTGGGGTCTATATGGGGGTTACTGGGGCCCACAGAATCTGTCCACCATGATTTACCTTCCCACAGAAAACTTCTGGGAGTAACCCTATGGAAATGCGGGAATTAATGGAAATGCTGTTTGTCCCGTAGCTGTTTTCACTGGGGCTCCACCTGCTGTCTGTTGGAGGAATCACAGCTTTTGTTTCACAGATTTATCACATCAAACAGAGGTCTTCAAAACAAGCCTGTCAGACTAAATTTTACTCATTATCAGGTTTAGATAAAATTTCTACTTTGGATGTCCGACATGCTGCTTTTTATTTCCAACATGTACATTTACCTGAATGTTTTTACTTACCTGTCCGTCTTTGTAGATCTGCATCCACCTGAGTGTTTGTGTGTCCATGTTTGTGTGTCCATGTTTGTGTGTTTGTTATCAGATGACAGCGGAGAGAATCGGATGGTCCGGACTCGCTCTCTGTCCAAGATCACCTCGTCGGTGGCTCGGCAGCAGTACGTTGACACATCAGACGAGGAGGAGTACCAGAGGTACCCGCAGATGTACCAACAACCACCCCACCGCCAAAGGGGCAGTAGAACCTCCTCCCAGGAGAACCTGGGACAAGCCCCGCCGGTAAGGACAATCAACCAGTCACTGGAAATTAAATTTTGGTGGCATAAACATTGGATTTTCTTCTCTTGATTCTTGGAAAACCTGTTTTAATTCTATGTTTTGCCTTTTTTTCTTCTTCACTGTATTTTGTACAAAAAGTTTCAGTCCGTATGATCTCAGCCATAAAGAACCAGGAGATATTGTTAACTGACATGGAGTCTTTTTGTCATACAAAATCATCTCCTTGGTGTTCATGTTGATTTTACATTGCAGATAAATGAACTGGGCAAACGAATGTTGGCCATCGAGAGTCTGCTGAGCCGCCTGGAGGAAAAGATCACACCTGGTGTAAACGAGGTGCGATGATGATGTGGGGTAATGTGAGATCATTTCCTGAAACCAGTCAGTACAAACATTCTGTAACTTTGTTTTACAGCAGGCGTCAAATCCAGCAGCTCAGAATGAGGAGGAGAAACTGAGAAGGAAGCTTAGTGAGCTGGCGGGGAACCTGAGCGATAAGGGCCCGTCATCGGACGACGAAGCTGGGAAGAAGTCCTTTTCTGTGGGTAAAGGTTTGGCCGGACTGAAGGGTGGCCCAGCAATCGCTCTGAACTCCCGGAAGGACAAACACCTGAGCTCATCCAGTGATGAGATGCCCACTGAGGCTCAAAAGGTAGGAAGACTGATTCAGTCCACTGTTTACAGAATTCATTGAATTCCAACCCATAAATCCAGGGAATGGGAACCTGGAGGTTTCTCAGACCACCAGTGGATCCGATGTTCTAATTTCTCGTGATTCGGCTATAAAAAGCTTACTTTTGGATCAGTGCACAATCATTTAATGGCAAATTTGTTTTTAACCTTGTTTTCAAAGAACAAAATAAAGTCTAAAAGGTTTTTGAACTCTTTATTTTGTCCGATGTCTCATAAACATCCAGGTTCCCATCTGTGATACATTCAGTGCTTCTACAGCATGGCTTGGCTTCTCCCCAAAAACGCTGTTTTACTCCATCTGGTCTGAACACCATGTTTCTTCTTCATTCTCATGTTTTTGTCCTCATCCACTCCTGAAAATACTGAACGCTTCTCTAAACTTCTCATTGGTTTTCTTATTCCATCTGTGACAAAATAGTAATAATGAGAAATGAGGCGTGGTTCCTGTCCTGGTAAACCCACGTCTACAGACTAGATGTCCAGTGACCTGATGGAGGAGAACTCTTTCTGATGCATCGCGGACTAGTCCTCACTAACCTGCTGCCTCCTGCATTGACTAACAGCCGTCTGTTAGGTTACTGTTACTGTGAAGCTCAGCAGCTACCTGCCTGGACCACATGGACCCCTCACCTGTACAGGTGTTCACCTAAAAACTAAACCTCTGCTCAGTCATGTGACACCAAACAGAAGGAGAAATCTGTAAAAGCACTGAGTGTTGGGAAACCTCTTCGTCTGCCTGTGAATCATAGCTGGGGAATCAGCAGGATGGTTTTTAACACTGTGGTCAGGTCTGTCTGAAACACATGCCACCATTTCAGGAACAAAAGGTGTGCACCACATTTAAATGTAGAAAGGTTTTTTTATGTGCAGAGTCCTTTTTAATCGCAACATGACCTCCCAGAGACACAAGTCAGACACGAGAGATGCTGTGGTGCTGTGGGGCATCCAGCCCGGTAGCTGCTGCAGGATGGGATGTTGTTTTCCAGCTGCTAACATCTGTCCCTCTACATGGCTTTCAGAGATCGACTGCCGCCGCCCTCTGTGACCTCACCACTGAGGTCCTGAGAACCATTAATGCCACAGAAAACGCTATGGTCGAGTACGGCCTCTCAGAGCCGATCGACAGGTCCCACTTAGTAGGCACTGACGTAAAGCAGGCCGATGATGCGTTCAGGGAACTTGAGGAAAATGTAAGCCTCCAACATGAACTGCACACCTCATTGTCCCTGAAACCCAACCCTCTACCTCGTCCGAAGCATGACGGAAATGTCTGGACTGGCTTTAACCTTCCCGGCTGTTGTGTGTCCGTCCATCAGCGACAGGGCTGGTGTCGGTCAAACACACTGGGTCCAGTCTCAGTCCAGTTTGAGTCCAGTTACAGCAGTTCTAGATTTAGGAAAAGGTTACATGATCATTTGAAACATGCCCCAGAACAGTTGGTAAAACCAGGTCTATGCTCATTATTGTTCAATAGCCTTAAAGCTATCAGTAAAAATGACCCGTTAGGAGAATGTGTACAACATAAGGGATTTGTTCTAGTTTCATCATCAGGTCATAATGTCCTCATGACTGAACTCTTCATCCTCTGATGAGACCAGGTCTCCTCCTGTTACCTGTTCAGTGATTGAGTCAGTCAGAGAACCAGTGTGTTTCACTGATGCTCAGGCCTGTCTTCATCATCATCACCATCATTCTCAGTGGTCTGGAGGCGTGTCAGCTGACCCAGGGGTCTGTCCTGTTACCTGTTTAGGTGTACATCACGGCCGGTCAGTCCTACGAGCTGGAGTCGAAGCTGCGGCGGCTCGAGCAGAGTGCCAAGAATCAGTTTGGAGGGACGACGGACTCGGAACTGTCGGAGCTTGAGGACGTGGTGGCACTGACCGCCGCCAGAGTCCAGAGTGCTGAGAGCGAGGTGGGTCAATGGCTCTGGATGGACATGGTCATGTTTACGCGGTGTCTAGAAGAACAAAATGGCTGATGCTGGAATAAACACAAATTTCTCACTTACAGGAAGCTTTTCAAGTCTTCCTGTTTTTAATAAGCAAACCCAACAGTTTCCCTTCATGTTTGTTCCATCTGCAGGTCTCTGATATTGAGAGTAAAATCGCTGCTCTGAGCGCCGCCGGATCCAAGAAGAAGGTCAGTGTGTGAGGAAATGATGTCAAGGTTACATTAACGTGTGCTCACTCACAGGAACAAAAAGTTATCGGGTTTCAGGTGTTAGACGGTCATCACTTTTCTGGAGTAACCTTTTTGAAGGGAAACTCAGAGCGTAGACTTGACTGAGTTACTGAAGAGAAATAAGAGAATAACCATTGTCCTATCTTTGTTTGGCTTCTGAGCATTTTTAAACCTTTGTGTGTTTGTTCCTGCCATCTTGGTTTTTTGTTTCCAGAGGTGACCATATTTGGACAAGTGGGTACAGTGGTCCCTCGCTTATCGCGGGGGTTACGTTCCAAAAATAACCCACGATAGGTGAAATCCACAAAGTAGCAAACTTTAGTTTTTACAGTTATTATAGATGTTTTAAAGCTGTAAAACCCTTCTCTTCACACTTTATACACTTCTTCTAGACAGGCACAAACATTTTCACATTTTCTTTCTTGTTTAAACACCTTCGTAGAAACAAAAGTCCAGTATTATGGAATGAAACCAAAGACACCCGCAGGTGCCTTTGGCGTTGCCAAACGTTTTGTCGACATTGTGGTATTTGTTGGGGAGAAAACAAACATATATGTGGCACAGCTGCAGGAGAAGCAGACGCACCGGAGCTGCATCGGCTCATCACGCCGCTCTGCATGAGTAGTACTGGGTCCTGAGTGGAAGTGTTGTTGTTGTGGGTGATGTGGGCGGCTGGCAGCGGGAGAGCTGCAGCCGAGTGTGTACAGCAACTATGGTGAAAAAATAAAGTATGCTGAAAAGCACTGAAATATCGTCGGGTCTGCCGTGGATGTGTTACAATACAGTACAACACTTCAGAGTCACACTGCTACCGATCAGAGATTTCTGTAAATTTGACAAGCTGAACGCATTCTGTGCTGCACAGGAGACACGGCACCAGATTAATTGACACTGGCCTACAGCCAATCGGTATGCAGAACACAATGCACTGTTTAAAAAAATAAAACAGCATGAAAAATTGCACCTAAAAAAAATCCAGGAAACGGCGAGGCTGCAAAAAGTGAACTGCGATATAGCGAGGGACCCCTGTAGAGTAAAGTTACGTGCTAAAGAAGAGCTGTCAGTTCAAAAAGTAATCCCAGAATTTCACTCTGCTGGATCTCAGCCTTCTTGGATCGTCTGTTAGTACAGTAACCTCACAGCAGCCACATTATGTCACTAAAATGCTCCCAACAGCACAAACACAATGCAGAGGTCCGGTTCAGGTGAAGCTTATTTGTGTGATAGCACACTGTAAACATGTTGGACATTTTAACTAGGGATGGGTATCATTTAGGTTTTATCCGATACCGGTGCCAAACCGGTACTTTTGAAACGGTGCCAGTGCTTAAACGGTGCTTGAACCAGTGCTTAAAGAATGGAGAACACAAACTTTGCTAAAAATAAAAACACAAGAGGTTTCTGAACAGTCTCTTTTTTTCTGCAAAATGATAACCAAGTTAGCCTTTTCTGTTGATACAACACACCTCCTTTGGTTGGAACCGGTCCTACACTGGCAGGGCTAGGGGCCAGGACTCTCCTCTTCGGGTTTTTGGGGGATGTTGCTAACTCCGGGTCGATAACAGGCACCACACCCGCAGTAGATGTGCTCGGTGTGAGGTCTCGCAGCAAGCTATCAAATACGGCGCATTTCTCGGCTTTTTAAAAAAACGCTATGCGTCGCCAGGTGTTTCATCAGATTTGAGGTGTTACCTCCTTTGACAGCATCACAGTATCAGCTTAAAGCACTTGTTGCAGCTGCTGAGTTTGCATCTTTTGCTGTGAAGTACAGCCAGACTTTGACCGCTTCGCCTTGGACATTTTAAATCTGTAGCTCTGCTCTAAAAGAACGTACGTACCTGGACCCGCCTACTACGCTCGCAAAGGTAAAATGATTGGCTAGAATCCAAAGTTACTGACATCTCAGGGAAAAAAAGCACCGAAAAAAAGCACCGAAATGTGCGCTGCTTTTCAGTCTGGTTACTACCGTTTATGTCAGAGGATACCGGTACCCATCCCTAATTTTAACATGGGAGTATATGAGGACTGAGTCACTGCTGGAGCCTCTAGTGGACACCAGAGGAACTGCAGGTTTTGGTTTTCAGAGGTACACGGTTGACTGGATGCCATGTTAGCTCCATGGAAACAGTTTCTTTCTGACATCACTCAGTACTAAACTAAAAACATCCATGTTTCTTTGCAGGTTTCAGGAACTCAGAGAAAAAAGTCGACTCAGGATTTTCAGAGTAAGAAACACACTCACGTTGCTTTCTGCACGTTTAAAGTGAAGAAGCTAAAACATGTTGCAGTCACGTTCCAGGCCATGACATTACAAAGTTGTGATGCGTGTTCGTTAACAGCGAAGAACCGTGTTAATGATCATTTCTTGTTTCAGAAGCTAACGGCACTCAGTGGAAATCCAGCAACATGTTCTGAAGCAGAAACAGACCTTCAGCAGCTGCTGCTTGCTCGTCTTCGTCATGAAGCCTTCATCATAGAGCAACTCAAAGAGCAACTTTTATCTGTAACTGCTGCTTATGTGTTAGAAACATAATACATGATTACAGCTGGTAGATTTAGACAAAATATGAGAAAACGTGAAAAAGTACGTACCAAACTAAACGAATATTCAAATGTACAATCATTACAATATTTCTTTGAAGCTCAGAGGCAGCCGGAGAGAATTACATGGAAATGTTTAAAAATGTATAAATCCAAAATATTTCGTTTTAACACTGACAAAGTTTCAGCCTGTCTCAGCAACGCAAAGCCCCCAGCATCCAACATCAGCATGGAGGAGAGGAAGGCACTCACATCACTTAACAATGACAACAACATTATCATCCTTCCGGCAGACATGGGTAGGTGCACAGATTTGCTAAACCAGAAAGACTATCATGAGAAAATGTTGTTACTACTCAGTGACAAAAATACTTATGAGCCCCTGAAACGAGACCCAGGAAGTGGC